CCTACACCGTCGCCGGCGACTCACGGCAGCCCAGCTCCAGGTTGAGCTGTTGTTCAGCATCTTAGCTGTGGAGGGCAGTGTCACTGGCCCTTATATGTGGGATCCGAACCGGGGCCCTCTGGTGTCCCAAGCCAGTTCTTAACCATTGCGCCACTCGGCCGGCCCCAGTAGCTAATATTTGCTAAATGCTTCCTATCCGTTTATTAACTCATTCAAATCTCGCAGCCTTTGACTCTCCCTATTTTACAGGTTAGAAAAACTGAGGCACAGAGAGGTTAGGTTACTTGTCCACGGCCTGCACAGCCAATAACTGCTGAGATCGCATTTGAACTCAGAGCCTAGTTTTTAGCCGTTACACTACTTCGTCAATGAGGTGATGTAACATAACATAATAATGTGATATAATGTTACATAAAATAATTTTAGGCCATGAAAGGTTTTGTGAACCAAATCAAGAGGGGGAACAAGGTAGTGGTTTGGTGGGATGGTGTAATTTCGAAGGGGCAGTCAGTGAAGGCCTCTCGAAGAAAGCGGCCTTTGAGAAGAGACCAGAAAAACGGTGAGATCTGTGGGAAGAGAGATCCAAGCAGGACACAGCCAAGGCAAAGGCCCGGCAGCTGGCACTGCAAGATCATGGTTCTGGCATCCAAAGTTTCCAAGATTCCGAGTTTTTAAGTTGCTGGCTAGCCGAGGCCCCTGTTTCCAGGCCTCCAGCGCGCTGGAATCATCCTCAGGTTCAACATGCCCTGAAGGCTCCCGGCTCCGCCTCGTGGGTGTTGCTATTCCCACTGGGCCCTCGCTGTGGGGCTAAACTTTCCCCGGGCGGTGGGCGGGGCCGGCCTCACCTGCAGGGGGCAGGACTCCAGGCCGCCCCGCCCCTGGGAGGACCCACCCGAGGCCCGAGACGCGGGGCGCAGCTGGGAGCGGCGTGCGGGAGGCTGCAGGGCTCAGCACAGCAGAGCGGGTCCCGGAGCCCGCCGCAGTCAGGTGGGCCCCGGAAGTGTGGGGCGGAGGTCCCGCGAGTCTCGAGGATGCGGACGGGGGCGGAGGGTGAGGGCTGGGCCTGGCGCTCCCCTGGGACCGCTGGCCTGACAACAAGGACAGGCCTGGGGGCCCCTGGATGCCCCCTCCTCAGCCCTGGGGCTCCCTAGACTCTGGAGGGCCAGCTGGGGCCGCACCCCCTCCCCCGTGCGCAGGTAAACAGGAGCGGGGGCGGGGCTTAGGGGGAGAGAGGGGCCCCTTGTGACGGCCGCCGGGAAGCAGGGGTGCATGGGTCTCCGCAGGCCGGTCAGGGGTAAGTTGTGTGCTAAGCGGGGCTGACCATGATGGAGACCACCTGCTTCCGAGAGAATGGATGTAGCGTGTGGTGCGTGTGACTAGAGATGGTGTACGAAGCTCAGATGTGCGTGTGACTGCATATGAAGCTCAGGTGTGTGTAGATATAGTGTCAGGCTGTGGGTATGGGTGTGAAGAGGAGAAGGACTGTTCGTGTAACCCTAAGAGGGCACAGAGGGACTGTGTGAATGGTGTGGGGCTGTTTCAGTGATGTGAAAATGTAGGAGACCTCTGATAGTGTGTCTGTAATGCTCTGTGTGTGGCTGTACGTACGGGAGGGAGTTGAACTCTGTAGGATTCGGTGTGAGTGTGACCAAGAGGTTGCATAGCTGTGGTTGTCTTTCTGCCAGTCATATGGGGGGTGGCAGGGAGGTGGGCAATGCGTGCAACAGAATAGTTGTGTGGGGTGTGACTGATTATCATTGTCTGATTATCATTGTGTGACAGGACTGAACACGTGAAGGGAAGTCAACTGCTTGGAGGACTGTATGAGTGTGTGAGCTGGTGTGTGTCGAAGAAACAGCCCCAGTGCTTGTGTGGCTGTGCATGTCGCTGTGACTGTTACTGTGGTTGGCTGTGGGTACTGTGGGCGAGGCTGTGTTTGGAGCATTCAGCTCAGTTCTTTGAGATTGTACGTGAGGTTGTACGTGAGGTTTGATTTCAGCAAACTTGCGTGAATACTGGTTGTGATTGTCAGGATGGCTCTTGAACTTGTGTGATTGTGTTCGACTGTTTATGGGGCTTGTGTGTGAGGTGTGAGACTAAGGATGGTGTGACATACGTACACATACACATATATATAGAGAGAAAGACGGATAAATGCACAAACATATGCAGAAAGAGAGAGATTGAGGGTGATGAGAGCCTGCAGTCTATAAAACACAGGGTTACATGCTACCCTTACTGTGTGTCTAAGCGTATATGATTGTGAACTTGCAAGCAGGTGCAGAACTGCTTGGCTGCTCATAGTGGACAGAGCTGCTTGAGTGAAGCATGCCTCAGAGGGTGTGTGCGTGTCCCCACAGCTGTCTGTGCCCTGGGCACCCACTTGTGACAGCGTAACTGAGTCTGAGTTCCGGAGCTATTTGCATGTCCATGTTTGAAGCTCTATATGTGTATCTGTGTGCTCTTGTGCAGGCAGGAAAATTCCTGGCTAGCCCTGCAAGGGGGTGGGGAGACTTCAGAGGACATGGGGAAGATGGTGACAGGTCCACAGCGAATCCTGGGAATGTGTGTGTACTTGGAGGAGGCGTTGGGCATACATTGGAGAGTGGGCTGCTTGTGGAAGTGTGAAAGAGGCATGTGTCCTGGCGTAAGTGCAAGGAGACAGTCTGAATGGGAGAGATTTGGGATTTGGTTAGATTTTCGTGGGTGAGGAGGGAGAGACAGAGAGTTCGTTTCTGTGTGTGTTGGCTTTTATTTCTGAGAGGAAAATATACCTGTGTTAGTTTATATTTCCAAGACGGGAGTGTGCCTGAGTTAGGTTGTATCACGTTGTATTTTGAAAGGATAAACTGGATATGTGTGAATACATGTAATATATTTTATTTTTCTAGAGGAGAAAGAGTGTGTCAAGTTGTATTTCTGAGAGGGGACTGTGTTTGTGTGTGAGTGTGTATATGAGGGCCTCAGAGGCACCACCAACCGTGTCATTGACATTGTCACTCACATACAAGCCAGATGAAGTCCTTCATTTGAGACCCCCCCCACCCATTACAATCTGGGCCTCAAACCTCAGCTGTCACATGGCCAGTGTGACATCCATTGGCCACACCTGCCGCACGTGTGTCCCAACACGCCTTGGGCTGGCTGAGCCTGTCTGCAGCGAAGGGCGGAACCCCTGATCCCTCAGGGTCTGTCGGCTCCTCAGGCCCCAGAGTGCACACACAGTGCCCTGAGGGCCTTCCCCCCAACCCCGCATCTAGAGGCCTCCTCTGCTTCTGGTACCCCAGCCCCTCAGCCCACTCCTCTTGCCTCACCCCACCCCCAGTGGTCTGACTGGTTCCCAACAAAAACACCCTAAGAATGAGCTCATGGAGAAGCTGCCGCCTCCACATGCCCCGCCCCACACACCCAGCAGAGGAGGGTGCCTTCAGTCCAGGTCACACAGCCGGGAGGTCTGGACCAGGGTATCTAGGGCCCTTGGGGTGGCAAGGGCTGGTCAGATGAGCTAGGGGCTGGTAGGAAGCCACAAGCCAGCTGTTGGCCTTCTTTTGGTCATATTTGGGGTGTTGGAGTTGCCCTCATGGCTGAGGAGAGGCAAAGCTAGATTAGAATGTTCCCAGTTGAGGGCTGGCCAGGATGGGTGTGGGATAGGGTGCTGGCTGGAAAAAGAAGGCTATGGAGGCAGAAGGCTGGCGGGGATGGCTGGATAGGGAGATAACTAGGAGTCCTGCTGGTCAGAATGGCATGGAGGCTGAGGGGCTGGCTTGCCTGGCCTGGGCAATCATTCCCCAATCCCGGTTGCCCCCTAGGAACAGCAATGTCTGTGCAGGTGGCAGCCCCCGGAAGTGTGGGGCTGGGCCCAGAGCGCCTGAGTCCTGAGGAGCTGGTGCGGCAGACACGACAAGTGGTGCAGGGGCTGGAGGCCCTACGTGCAGAGCACCATGGCCTGGCTGGGCACCTGGCGGAGGCCCTGGCGGCACAGGGCCCAGTGACTGGCTTGGAACTATTGGAAGAAAAGCAGCAGGTGGTGAGCCATTCGCTGGAGGCCATCGAACTAGGGCTAGGCGAGGCCCAGGTATGAGAGGGCCACCTGTGGGGGAGGAGGCTCGGGCCTGGGGGGAGGCCCAGGAATGGGGGCCTATGTATGCAGGGGCAAGCCGGGGGTAGGTGAGACCTAGGGGAGCCAGGCCTGGGAGGGGGAAGCTCTAGGCCAGAATTGGGGTCCCTGGGAAGCACTGGGAGGGCCCCTGAGTATGACAGGAACCCCTGAACCAGATGGGGTCCTTCCATAGAACTGTGGGTCCTGGGGAAACTTTGGGATGCATGGGTGGGACATGAAGTGTCCCTGGGCATAATGTATACGCCTGGGTGAAATCAAGGGGTCCCTGGGTAGGATTTGGGTATGTGCCTGGGAGCCTCCGTGCATCCTTGGAGTCACACTGGAAGGGTTTCTAGAAGCTGGGGGATCCTGGATAGAACAGGGGTGCTCTGGCTTGCCTTGAGGCCCTGGCAGGGTAGGGACCAAGGGTCCCTGACTCTTGATCCCCAACCTGAGGCAGGTGCTGCTTTCCCTCTCGGCACATGTGAGCGCACTGGAAGCCGAGAAGCAGCGGCTGAGGGCTCAGGCCCGGCGGCTGGCCCAGGAGAACGTGTGGCTGCGAGAGGAGCTGGAGGAGACACAGCGGCGCCTGCGGGCCAGTGAGGAGGCTGTGGCCCAGCTGGAGGAGGAGAAGAAGCACCTTGAGTTCCTCGGGCAGCTACGGCAGTATGACACACCTGCTGAGAGCCAGGTGCTGTGGGCCGGGCGAGGGCCGACCCTCCTTAGATAACCCACCGCTCCCCAACCCTCCACGGAGCCTCAGTGTTTCTAGACCCTCAAAGAACCCTCCAACCCGCTAGAACGTCCACAGGAGCCTCCCAGCTGCTCCACAAAGCCCCAGGTCCTCCCCAAGCAGGCCGGCAACCCCAGAGGCCCCTGACCACCACTTCTGTCAAACCCTGAGAGATTCGGGACCCAGTCCCTGGAACAAACTCCTAACCCTCTGACTTCCCACTTTCCTGTCCTCTCCGCAGCAGCCCGAGTCCCCACCTCGCCGAGACAGCTTGGCCTCCCTGTTCCCCAGTGAGGAGGAGGAGAGGAAAGGTGGGTGTGCGGGGAGACGTGACTATGGGGAGCTCAGCCATGGAGGACCAAAGGGCAAAGCTGGGGAGGGACTGCTGAATCCCAAGGTCTCTAAGCAGCAGATGAGAGGGGTCAGGGCCGGGTGTCAGGCGATGAAACAGGTGGCTGTGGGTGATGACAGCAGGCAGGTGAGACTGGAAGGTACAAAACCAGGCAGGCCACAGCCCCACGAGCCAGGCAGGTGCCCATGTTCACATTCCACGAGCCAGTTAACTGCCTGGGATCCCCATCTCAGAAGTCAATGCAGGGGCCCATGGTCCCAAGGGGCAGCTGGGCAGCGACGCAGCTGTAGTTCTTGGGTGAAGGAGTCACCTCGTGTGGGGCTGGAGGGGTAGGAGGACTGTAGTGACTCGGTGCCTGCCACTCCCAGGTCCTGAGATGGCAGGGGCCGCAGCGGCTCAGCAGGGTGGCTACGAGATCCCAGCCCGCCTTCGGACCCTACACAACCTTGTGATCCAGTACGCGGGGCAGGGCCGCTATGAGGTGGCCGTGCCGCTGTGTCGCCAGGCCTTAGAGGATCTGGAGCGGAGCTCAGGCCACTGCCACCCTGATGTGGCCACCATGCTCAATATCCTGGCACTGGTGTACCGGTGAGGGCCACAGCTGGCCACAGCTGGAGTGATTCCCAAGGGTGGGAACCACTGTTGGGTGGTAGAGGGGGACCCTAGTGTCCTGCTTTGTCAGCATGGGTCACTGGGGGTGATGGGGGAAGGAGGATAGAGATCTGGGGAGGCCAGTGTGACCCAGGCAAAGAGGAGTCAGGTAGCGCGGGTGACAGAGACCCCAACAGAGTAGAGACAATAGGGTGGCCAGAGATTTGGCAGTGAATTGGGGGGTGCAGGGACCCTGTGCTAGACTTAGGTGTGGGGAGACCCAGAAGGGATCCCCAAAGGGTGCCACCCATGCTTGGTTCAGCCAGGTCCCTGGGCCTGCTACCCCAGATTGTCTGACTCCCCATCCCTGGGCCACCCCGTAGGGACCAGAACAAATACAAAGAAGCCACAGACCTTCTCCACGATGCCCTGCAGATTCGGGAGCAGACATTGGGCCCTGAGCATCCTGCAGTGAGTTGGGGCCCAGGAGGAAGGGCTGTGGGCTGTGCCTTCCCATCCCTGACCTGCCTCCCCCAAACTGCAGGTGGCTGCCACCCTCAACAACCTGGCTGTTCTCTATGGGAAGCGTGGGCGGTACCGTGAGGCAGAGCCCCTGTGCCAACGTGCCCTGGAGATCCGTGAGAAGGTCCTGCCTCCCTGCCCAGCCCGAGTCCCTTCCCATTCGATCCCAAAGTGCTCCCTGATCCTGTGGTCCCCCTTTTTATGCCCTTTGCACTGGATATTGTAAGCCCACCATTTGAAACTAGAGCACCCATTCCCATGACCCGCCACCCTTGACCTTCTAGGAGCTCCCTTTGATCTTGATTCCTGACTTCCCTTCTTTTAACTCACCTCATATGCCCCCAACCCCTGATCTACCTATCCATTTGACCTTGTATCCCAAGGTCATGGTGGTTTCTGGACCACCATGACCTCTGACCTGATGAGTCCCATTTGATGGTGTAACTTCTGCTCCCACCTCATGTAACTCTCCTCTTTGAGCCTGTAATCCCGAACTTGTGACCTCCATTATGGCTGCTGGCATCATGTGACACACCAATCCTGGATGACCCCGATGACTTGTGAACCCATGACCCCTAGGTCCTGGGCGCCAATCACCCAGACGTGGCCAAGCAGCTCAACAACCTGGCCCTGCTCTGCCAGAACCAGGGCAAGTTTGAGGAGGTGGAGCAGCACTATGCCCGAGCCCTGAGCATTTATGAGGCCCTGGGCGGGCCCCATGACCCAAACGTGGCCAAGACCAAGAACAACCTGGTGAGGGTGCCATGGGCCCCGGGGTGGGGGGTGGGGTGGGGGGTGGACAGGTCACACGATGAGAGGCACTCATTGGCTCCAGGATGTGATGCTAGAGACCAGGAGCAACCCCCTCTACCAGGTCCATGAAGGGGTCCCCCAAGACTCAGCTTCCCAGCTGAGCCCTGACTGGTGAGATCGCTTAGCACAGATGTGGAAGCGTCAGGGAACAGGCAAGTTGGTGGCAGCCAGAGAACGGCTCCAGTGAAAGAGGACGCTGGAGAGATTGGTGGGGAGCAGATGATAGCATCAGACATTTATTGAGCTTTAGATCCCCTGTGTAGTACTTTTCCTGTACAATCTGTTTTTTAAGGGGCCCTGTGAGGTAGGTGTTTTTGTCGCCCCCATTTTGCAGATGAGGAAACTGAGGCACAAAGAGGTGGTGTCACTGGCCCAAGATAGAGCAGGAAAAAGGCCGGGCCAGGAAGTCTCGTGCCCTAGGTCGCCCAGGCAGACGGGGTGGCGTCAGGCTCCAAGCCCACTCTGCCGTGGGCGAAGGCCTTGAGTGGGATGGGGTCGAGGTGCCTGGATGTAGTGCCAGGGCCCGGGGAGTTCCCACACTCGAGCCAAGATCACAGGCTGTGCCCTTTCGCAGGCCTCAGCCTACCTGAAACAGAACAAGTACCAGCAAGCAGAAGAACTATACAAAGAAATCCTCAGCAGGGAGGACCTGCCCGCCCCTCTCGGTGAGCCCCCAGTCCCTCCCCGCCAGGTGGCTTCTCAGTGTCCCCACCACAACGGCCCCCATCTGTTCCCCAGGAGCCGCCACCACAGGCACGGCCGGTGACACAGCACGAAAGGTGAGGATGCCGTATGCGTCCGCCTCCAGGCTAGGAATGGGGAGTGGCTGGGATGGGGCTGACAGGTATCCCCGGTGCCCTCCCCAGACCCTTCGTCGGAGCAGCTCGTTCTCCAAGTTACGTGAGTCCATCCGGCGTGGAAGCGAGAAGCTGGTCTCCCGTCTCCGAGGCGAGGGGATGGCGGGGGCAGCCGGGTGAGTGTTGGATAAGGTCAGCAAAGAGCCCTGATAGCTGCGGCTTCCTCTATTCCCTGTCCTGCTCAAGAACCTTTCATGGCTCCCATCTTCCCTGGGACACATACAATCAAACCCGACGTTGAAGAGGTCTTCTCCAAGGTGGAAGCCAGACGTTCCTGGACTCACTTGTTTCCTCTGTAGGATGAAGAGAGCTATGTCACTCAACACGCTGAACGTGGATGGTGCAAGGGCTACTGGGACCCAGGTGAGGGGGAAGCCGGGCACCTGGGTCAAGGATAAAGTGGGGGGCCGTGCTGACAGGCCCAGAGGCGAGGGGAGGGTGGAGAGAGTCAGGCTGGCATTGGGAGCCAAGGGCCGGTAGGCTGGAATGGACCCGAGAACAGGAGAATGCATGGGTGAGGACAGAAGGATGAACAACGCAGCCACTGGGATGGACAAGCTGGCGGCCGTGCTGCTGGGGATAACTCTAGTGGCAGCTGGAGCAGGCGTGTCCTGCCCCTCGCCCACCCTTCAGCCATCCCTTGTGCCTGTCCCCAGTTCCCGAACCAGCACCTGAGTGAGGCTTCTCGGACCCTCAGCACCAGCACCCAGAACCTGGGCCCCCGCTAACGTCGACAGGACCACGAGGCTCAGCTTCTCAGGGAGAGTGGGAGAGGGGTGGGCAGACAGGGATCCTCTCATCCCCCTGCCTCTCGGGTGTACTGGGCTGCCCTCGCCTCCTGAGATTAAAGACTATAGATTTGGCAGCCAGGAGCGTCGGCCTGAGGTTTCCTTCCTGCGAGGACCTTCCAGTGCCTCTCCTGAGGCCCCCTCCAAGTCGCTGGGACCCAGGGCCGGGTAAGACTCGCGAGTCACCAGGAACACCTTTTGTGGCCCTGCCCGCACCTGATGCTACAGCTGCTGCGCAATCTGCTCGATCCTCCGCAGCGTCTCCTCCGACTCCAGCTGCTCCAGGCTAAGCAGGGACAGGCCCAGCTGATCCTCCTGCAGCAGAGAGACAAAGAAGGAGGGGTCAGGCCAGGGGCTAGGGAGACAGCTGCGGCACTTCCCCACATGCCCCCACGGGGGACACAGAGGTGGCTCACAGGACAGGATGCGTCAATTTGGAAACACCCATATAACGCAGGGAGTGCCTTCCCTGTAAACAGAAGACGACGACGGGCCAGAGGAGGAAGGTGGCAGCCAGGCAGCGGTGTCCCCGCTAGAGAAGGCTCAGCTTTCCAGAGGCCCCGCCGCCTGCTCACCCCACCTCCTCTGGCTCCCACGCACCTGCTCGTCTACCGGAGACACGCTGGTGGCTGTAGCCCTTGACTTCCCCCAGTTCCCAGGCCTGGCATGTGGGCATACACAAACCTCTTTGTCAAGGGCCCTTCCCGGAGGAGGGGCTTAGCCTGGGAGGGTGAAGGGAAGTGCGGGCTGCCTGACTCAGGCTCACCCGGTGGAATGGCTGTGCCATCTGCCTCAGGAAGTACTTGGCCACCTGGACCCCCTCATCCACAGTCAGGTTGAGGTTGGCATCAGTAAGGTGTTCTTGGATCCAGCGGGGCAGCTTCCCCCGCTTGTCTGCCCGGGCAAACCGCTGGGCAGGAGGGTGGGAGAGAAAGGGAGTGTCAGGACCCTGGGTTGGTGGGGGCCTAAGGCCACCCTGCCCAACTCTCCCCATCTGGAAAATGACTAGGGGAACAGCCAGGTTGGCGGGGCCCCCTGAACCCGCACCTTGTCAGCGAAGACCATGAGGCCATAGTCCGTTTTGCCCCTGATGGCCCGACCCACACACTGGGCCGCATGGCGCATAGCATCGAAGGTGAGAAAGTCGTTCTCTCGGATTTGGAACTGGTCCCGCAGGTACTCCAGCCGCGCCTGTGGGTGAGATGGGGGAGCGGTCCCCTCCTGCCTGTCCCTACACATTCAGCCCCTTCCCCACACCACAAAAGTCCCAGGATTGGGGGACAAGAGAGGCCTTAACATCCTACCCACCCCAGGTGCTGCTCACCTTGAGAATGCGGCTCTGGGTGTAGACATAGGGGACGCCAAACATGATGACAGCCCGCCCGAAGTGGTGCACTGGAAGTCGGGGCAAGAAAGGGGTCACCAGGATGACTGGCTGGAGAGCTACCCTCCTGTGGCCCAGGAGTGGGGCGAGAGTGGGTGTGCTCCGAGGGCCCCACTGGGTTTCCAGGGACATAGGGGCGGCCCCTGTTGTGCCCAGGCTGTGGGGTGGTGCCCTGGGGGAGCAGAAATGGCCAGAGCTCCAGGCAGGCTCTTGGGGAAGGGAGAGCCTAGTCCACTCACCAAAGTCGATTCCCTCAGACACTTTGCCTCGAGCCACGGAAAGCAGGATGGCCCCACGGCCGTTCTCGCAGGCCTGGGGAAGGGGGGCCAAGACAGAGCTGTGGCCCCTCAGAGCTGTGCCCTTTGGCCCCTCTCTCAGCACCCCCCACCCCCACCTACCTCCTGGTACTTCTCCAGGGCAACACTGGTCTCAGCCCCATCTTGGGTCTCGATAAAGAGCAGCTTGTTCCTCTGGATGTTTTCGAGGATGCCCTAGGGAAAGACACCAGGCAGGCCAGGGTGTGTGTTGGCAGCAGGATTAAGCACACAGGCGTTTTGCCTAAACTCAACTCTGCCCCAGATTCCCTTCTCTCCCCAGCGGAGACTTGGGAGGGAGGGTGGTGGCACTGGCAAGCCTCACTGCATTTGGGAAACCCTGTGATCCGGGCCGGGAACCAATCCCTACATCTCATCTTTTGCTCAAGTGGGTAGGCATGTGGCCCAAGGTGGCCAATCAGGACACGCTACCCGCCCCCCAAGGCAGTAACTGGTGGAAAAGCTGAGGTAGGACAGGCAGAGCCAATCAGAGGATGCGCAGAGATGTCATGTGATGCTGTAATAGACACGTGATCAAGGACACAGAGACCAGTGGAACAGAATGGAAGATCTAGAAGACATAGCCCCTCACAGATGGACACCTGTGCCTTTCAGTGGGAAGAGCTCTTTTCAATTAATGGGGCTGAAGCAACTGGATTTGCATAGGGGGAAAAAAAATGAACCTTGACCCCAACCTCACACCATACACAAAGATAAATGTGAGGTACCTCACAGACCTAGATGTGAAAGCTGAAACGACAAAACCTTCTAGAAGGAAACACTGGAGACTATCTTCGTGACCTTGGGGTAGGCACAGGTTTCTTAAATAGGACACAAAAGGCACTTAGGATGTGGGGCTCGGGTGGCTAGCAGCCACCTTTCCCACTGTGGAAAGAGCCTGTCTGAGGACAAGACAAAGGTCTTGGCCGTGAGTGGATGAGGTTCCCACCCCCACCATTCTCTGATGCTTGGATTAGCCAGGTTCACTCATGTCATCCCAAAGAGCTTGCTTTCACCTCCTCCTGAGCTGGGCCATGGGGCACTCAGAAACTGAAAGGACAGAGCGNTGGATGGGGAAGAGGCCTGATCACTGCACTGTACACCTGAAGCTGATGTTGTATAATATTGTATGTCAACTATAAGTGAATATATATATATAGTCATGGGACGTGGAGTATAGTGTGGGAGTGGAGTCAAGGGATTTGTAATAAATATGTATGATATTGGGGGGAAGTGGGGTGGCGGATTGGGGGGGGTTGTCACTTCGAGGAGTAAAAAGTATAACTATTGCACTGTGATGTACAGCTGAAACTAATTCTAAAAAATGTGTATTTCATAATAAAAAAACAACAACAAACAAATATTCTATGTGTCATATATCTATTAATATTATGGTAGTTTCTAATATCCTTTTAGCTCTTTGTACATGCTAAGGGTACACATGCAATATCGCACCCAATCTTATCAACAAATGTATGAAGCAGGTACTTATTTATCCCCATTTTACAGAAAGGAAGACTGAGGCCCAGAATGCAGAAATCTCCTCTCTAAGAGTACATAACTAGTAAGTTTCAGAGCCAGGAAGCCAGGCCTGCCAGCCTCCAGGAACTGCCTTTCTAACCTCTACCAGCCTGGGGGAAAGTAGGAAGGCTCCCCAGAAGTGTGCGTGCCTCCGCCATGAAAAGATGAGTCAGAATTTTATGTGTGAGAAGAGAATTCTATGCGTGGCCCTTGCATATCCCCCTGAGAGGTCTGGTCTGGGAATCTAAAACTCCTGGTTGAATAGAAGAGTTTCCTCAACCCTGGGGCTTTGGGTGAGGGAAGAAATGGGCACTCACCTCAGGATGAATACACAAGTTCTTTCGGGAGCTCAGAGCCAGCCCCAAAAATGGCAGCTTCTCGCCCTCCTGTTTCTCATAGAAGTTGAGCAACTTTCGAAGCTCTTCAATCACCTGTGCCAGAAGAGAAGGGAGGGGAAACTCGGCCTCACTGAAAACACAAGCCCCTGCCCAACCACGCCCCAGCCTCCCAAACACAACCCCCAAGCTGTGATGGCAACCACAGGGGAACCAGCGAAGTCCGGGGAGAGTGAAGAAGCACAGGTATTGGCTCTAGCTCACCTTCTCAATCTCAGGCACAGTTCTTGAGCAGTAGATGAGTTTAGTCACCTCCAGTGGATATGCCTGCCGACAACAGTGGGCTCAGCACATCCAGCCCCTTTCCTCTTCCCCTTCCACAGGCCCAGTGGGTCACTTACCCGCTGGTATGCCATGATCAGGGCCAACAGGGACACTGTCTTCCCAGTGCCTGAGGGCATCTCCAGGACTCCATGGCCCTGCATGTTGGGGGAGATAGGGATAAGACACAGGCTCTCAGAACTTCAGGGATACCCTCCCTCCAGAATGCCACCATCTTGAAACAGCAGGCCAATACAGCAATTAAGTTTGGGCAGTGGGTTTGGACCTCATTTCTTTGTTGAGTGGCCTTAGGCCAAGTGCTTTCACCTCTCTGGCCTCAGTATCCTCATCTCTAAAAAGGCCTAATAAGTTCTTCTTTGTAGCATGATTATGAGGATTAATGAAAAACCGGGGGTTAAATATTTAACATAGTATCTGACATACAGTGAGCCATTTTTCTTTTAATTTAGCAAACACTTCACACTTACTCTGTGCCTGGCAGTATTTCTAAGTGTCTTCATCAGGGTTTGTCAACATCAGCTCTATTGACATTTTGGAGCCGGATAATACTTGGTTGTGGGGGGGCTGTCCTGTGTACTGCAGGATATTTAGCAGCAAATGTGGCTTCAAAACACTATATGCTAGTAGCACCCCCACTCCACTGGTATGCCAACCAGCAAAGTCTCCAGGCATTGCCAAATGTCCTCTGGGAGTCAAAATCATCCCCAGTTGAAAACCATGCCTTACTTAGTGAATGAATTCATATGACCCTCACATTAACCTCTGAGGTAGGTACTATTAATATGCCCATTTTGGGCGAGGGGGAGTAAGTGATTTTCCCATGGGCACACAGCTGTGGGTCTGGAATTCCAACCCTAACTCCGAAGTCTACATATTCCCAGCCACAGAGTAGCTCAGCCTTTCATAAATGTCAGCTGCTGCTATTATTAACTTATTTTTGTTTCTTTGTTGTTGTTTTCTTTCTTTTATTAACTATTATTATTTTAGATAACGGGAGGTTTTGGAGTTCTGGCTCCCCAAGGGCCTCTAATTTCTAATCTAGACCTCTGGCAATCTCAGTCTTAGCCGCCTGTGTGGCAGCCCCACCTTCAGGTAGGCAGCGCCGGGCGGGGCCCACCCACCTTGGCGTCCAGCGTGCGTTTGAGCTCCAGCATATAGGAGAATTGCTCGGGGTAGATGTAGTCGTACGGGAAGTAGACCAGCAGCCCGTCCACGTTGAGCCTGGCGGCGGGGGCCGCCGAGTCAGTCCCGCGTCCCTTAAGCCCTTCTCCAACCCCCACGCTCCCCTGCCGTCGGGCTGAGGAAGGTTACCTGCCAGGCACTGGCCTGCCGGTCCCCCCGGATATACCCCCGTTCCCCAAGAGCCTCTGGGTCCCCTCGGCATCTCCACGCTGCCCATCCCCGTTACTGCACCGTGGGTCTCGGCCGCTATCCCCTCCCCATCCCTTCAGCCTCCCCTCGCCCCTCGGGGACCCCGGGCTCGCCCACCGGTCCCCCCATCTTCCAAGTCCCCGCGCCCGCTCGAGAGCCCTGACACCCAGCCCCCCTCTCACTTCATGGCGGCGGCCGGAGCGAGAAGCGCCGTCGATCCGCCCCCTCATGAATATTCAGTGAGGCAAGATCCATGGGGCGTCCTCGAGGCGCTGCTCCACCTTCCTCATGACGCCACTGGCTGATCCCTCCCGTCACTCTACTCGGGTAGAGCCAATCGGGATAATGCGCGTGCGCACGGCAATACGAGGGCGGGCTCACCGGAGAGGCGCTGCCAGAGGCGTCGCTGAGGATCGCCGAAGACCAAGAACAAAACATGGAAGAAAGAGAACCGAGAGAATCGATCTTATTCATTAGGATTAGGTCTTCTGCATCTGCTCAGATTATCTGAGTAGCGAAGAGAGTCTAGGGGAAAATGACAGGAAAACTGGGGACCTCTTCGGGGCCCACGAATTAGGAATTGTTTCGCCGCACCAGACAAACGTACACTTTTTTTTTTTAAATTGGGGAATTGGGGGGATGGGTACAGTGCTGGGGAATTGGTCCCCAGGGGGAAGGGGAACAGACAAGTTGCTGTTGTTTTGTTCTTCAGTCTAGTTGTGGAGGACGTTGCTTCACTGGCCCAAGTTGGCACCATCATTGCANCTAAACCATCAGGAGGCTGTCAGCTCTACCTTCAAAGCCTATCTGCAATCTGACCACTTCCCCCACTCCCTCCCCTGTCCAGCTGCCACCACCTCTGCCTGGCACTGTAGTTCCCTCCTCACTGTACTCCCAGTGCCTACCCATGCTCCCTTCACAGCAGCCAGAGGGACCTTGTAAAATCCTGAGTCAGGTCACAGCCCTGTCTTGGTCAGAAGCCTCCCCACAGCTCCTCACACCCTTCCTGGGGTCCAGGATCATCTGAGGAAACCTGCCATTCCAACCCATTTTCTCTTGCTCACATGCTCCTGCCTAACTTTCGAAAACCACCAGGCTCACTCTACCCCAGGGCCTTTGCACTTGCTGGCCCTACTGCCTGGAAAGCTTCCCAAGGTGGCTGGCTCCCTTTGGTGATTTGGGACTCTGCTCAAATGTCAACTCCTCAGAAAGGCCTCTTCCCTGGCCACCCTGGCCACTGCAGGTCTGCTCCAACATGACAACCAATGTGTTTCTCATGAAAACTATCACTTTCTGGAATTATCTTGTTTGTTTGCGCCTTCACTACCTGTCTTCCCCTCTAGAATATAAGTCCCAGAGGTCAGGGAAGTGGTCTTTCTTGGTTCCTGCCTGGCCTGTTTATTGACTAGATGAATGAATTCACATATTCAATTTCACTTAGTGTAAAAAAAAATCAAGTCCTCTGTGCCCAGCCCCATGCAGGGCACACACCAGTAGCCGAGACATCTCTGGTCCCGTTTTCTCAGGGCTCACAGTCTAGTGATAGGGACACAGACCTATCCCCAGTGACTACCCAAGAGTGGGCAGGGCTAGGATGGGGGAGACCAGAGGGTAGGTGTCTTGAGACCAGCCTGGAGGTCACAGAGGGCTTCCTGGAGGAGAGGACATCTCTACTGAGCCAAGAACTGAAGGATGAGGGGGACATAGTTGGAGGCTGGAGGATGGGGAAGGATGTTCCAGGTAAAAGAACGTGACGTGTTGGTAGATAGGTAAGCGGGGAGGAGAGGAGAAAGATAGCCTGAGAGGGAGACAGAGTGGGACAGAGAGATGGACACAGAAGGAAACTTCCAGCAGGACTTGCTGATTGAGGGGCTCTGGAGTAGGGGACAGACTCTCCGTCCTCCTGCTGAGGCCGGGCCCAGCCGCGAGACATGAGGCAGGCCTGACCTGGTTTCCTGGATAGAGGAGTAATCCCCAGGGATCAGCCTGAGCCCTCAGCCAGCTTAAAACTGCGGAAGGGGAGGGAATGCTGCCAGACAAAGGTGTTAAAGCCTCCGGATCACTTCCCCTCTCCCTAGCAAGCTGGAAACCCGAGTATCATCAACTCCTCTCCCCCAAGCTTCCCACATACAGGCACCAAGTCCCAGTCTCTTTACCTCCCGTCTCTCTCTCCAGCCCCTCCCTTTCTCTCGTGCAGCCCTTCCCAGGCTCCTCCTCTCCTGACCCCAGTCCCTGCCAGAAGAATCTTTCTAAAGCACAAATCTGCCCATGCCCCTCCCTTGTTCAGAACTTGCCATGGCTCCCCAGTGCCCTCAGGTACAGAACGACCAAGCCCTTACCACACCCTAAGTGTGAGCTGACCCCACAGAACTTCTCGGGCCTCATCTCATACCATCGCCACGCCCATCCTTCTCCAGTCTGCAGCCAGAGGGAGCTTCTGAAAATATGAATCTGAGCACAAGGCTCACTCGCTCACAAGAACTGCTGGTGGCTCCCCAGTGCCCTCAAAGCCCAAACTCCTGAGACCAGCCCTACGTGGTCCTAAGTGCCCGAGTCCTACACACAATCCTCTGGGCTCTGTTGGGATCCTGACTGCAGCTGGCAGGGGGCCCAGCAGAGGCAGGAAGTGGTGTGCTTACCCTTGGAGTAGGTACTGACAAGAGTGGCAAAGTTAGCCAGGAGGGTGAGGGGGGAGAAGTCAGCGAGGTCAGCAATCTCCAAGGTGTGCAGGAGGGAGCGGAGGCGCTCTGCGCAAAATCTGGTGGTGAGGCAAATGAGGGTCAGGGGTAGTGCGAAGCGAAGACAGGACACGCCCCTCCTCCACTGTCATGCTTCCGCCTCCCCAGGTGACTGGGTGCTCCATGAGGGCGGGGACTAGGGCTGTGTCACCTCTGTGTCCCCACATTGTACAACTGCATGTCACACAGAGCCACGGCGGTCCCGGTACAGTGGCACATACAGAGCAATAATCACACATTCCAGAATCATGCGGTCACACGTCACACAATCTGGTACGCAGGTCTCAGTCAAAACAGGAGATCCACAACCACACCTAGAATCCCAGTCACAACATGAATCCTGCATGGCCACGCGATCATACACTTATACCTAGAACCTCACACAGTCTGTCACACTCGGCCACACTAGTGACACATACCGCCTCCGAGTCCCACATGCCCACACACCCTCGCAGAGTCACACACACTACATCACACTCATGCACACACAAGGCCACCCAGCCACAAACAATGATGGTCAGGCTTGAGGCTCTCACCACTTGGGGGCAGGTCATGGAGAAGGAACCCCTGGCTTGGACCCAGGTGGACAGTCAGTTTAAAACCTGCCTCCTGAACGTCATTTCTTCAAGTCTATCTTCTCTCCCCTTCCTCTCCCCTCCGCCCCCAACCTCCTACCCCTCTGGGCTCCCCCATCTCAGCCCTCCCTGCTCTGGTTGTCCCTATCTGGAGATGGGTCTATCTCTCCCCGCTAGACTAAGCCCAGGAGGGCAGCACCAGGGCTGTTTCGGTCACCACTGTGTCCCCAGCACAGAGCAGGCACCCGGGGAACATGTGTTGAGCGGCTAAGATCCTATCTTTGCCTTCACAAGTCTCCCTGGGGGACTTCCGGTAAGATGGCGGAATAGACGGACGCTGTGCCAACTGCCTCACAAGTCTCCCATTGGGGACAGACTGCCTCACCCCCTCAGAGATGGACCGGCCAGGGGCTTCAGAGCCCTACAGGCCTGGCTTCGCATTACTACCCCACCCAGTGCTGTGTGACTCTGGGCAATGGCTTCCACACCGAGTGACAGTGTCCTTATCTGCAGAACAGAGACACCATATTGAGATTCCAGGAGATACAGAATGTGAAGTGCTCAGCTCAACATCAGTGCTCAAGACAGGGGAGGTATTTATATCGCTGCTTGCTCATTTAACCACCACAGAAACCCAAGATTAAAGACGATGACTCTCAACCCATTTTACAAAAGAGGTTCAGAGAAGACTAATAACCCACCCAAAACAGCAAAGGAAAAGTACAGGACGCCCCGCCCTACTGCCAGATCCACTCTTTTGCCCTCAGGCTTGGGGGAACAATGAGAGGCGCCAGTGGGAGGAGCCGGGTCCAGGGGGTCTGGGGCATTTCCCTCCAGCTCTCGCTCTGCTGGGCCTGATCAGGAGCCCCTCTTCAGGGCCGCTGTCTCCCCTGCCTGGGGTAGAAATACCTCTGAGCTCTTGGAAGTACCCGGGGCCTTGCCACCTGTGATGGCTCCTCCGCCCCGCCCACCCCCTCTGTAAATAGTGCCTCCTTCAAAATCTCTTCAGGTAAAAATTCTCTGATCAAGCCATGTGCTGCCTGCCTGTCAGGCTCCTGGCCAACACAGGGACCAAAAACCAGCTCTGACCTTGCCCTTGGACCTGCCTGCTCTGGCCAACAGGTGTCACGCGTGCTCCCCCCCCAATTCTCACTTACAGCTGACACTGGCATCATGGTGGCCCCAGGCCACAGGTGCAGAGGACAAGGCTCTGCGAGGGCCCAGGGCCTGCCCCCCCACCACCACCACAGGGACCCAACACCCCCAGCTGTGTGGGGCAGCACCTGAGGGGCTTGCGCTGGATGCACACGCGCTGCGCCAGGCTGCTCAGGAAGGCGGGGGGACTCTCCTGAACCACATGCTGCACGCGCAGCCGCCACTTGACGTACTCCAGCAGCCGCCGTAGGAAGCCCAGGAAGTGCTCTGCTGTGCGGATGGAGCCCGGCACCGCCTCTGCGGGAAGGAGGTGTCAGCTGCCACGCCACAGGGAGAGTGGGAGCAGGGCCAGGAGCGGGTCGCAGCAGGGCTAGCAGCTCACCCTGCAGCACCTCGTCGGGCAGCACGGGGTTGGCCAGGTGGGCGTTGGTCTCCCGGGCGGTACTGGCCTCCCGCAACCCTTCCACCAGGCGCCGGTACTCCTCCCGCAGACGCTGCTCGTCGGTCTCCTTGATCCTGCGGGGAGACAGGTTGTAGGAAGAGCAGGAGACACGTGAGAGGGCACTGAGATGGGGCTGGTGCCCCTGGAGGCAGGTCAGGCAGAGAACAGGGGCTTGGGAGAGGCAGGGGCTGGATGGCTGGGCCAGGGCCAGCGCCTGGGTCGACCAGCCACTTGGGCCACCCACCTGAGCACTGCCTTCTGCAACGTCTCCAGGTTGCCCTGACATCGGTCGAGGGTCCGGCGGGTGAGATTGACACTCATGGAGTCGATGCAGACATTGTCTAGAGAGGAGCGGGGAGAGATCTGGGCTCAGGCGGGCAGGCGGGGGGTGGGGAGGGCGGCGGCCTGAGGGGCTGGCATCACTTCCTTGCCCTGGCTTCCTCCTTACCAATGTTGTGGGCCTCGTCGAAGACCACGACAGCCTTGCGGGCCAGCTCCTTGGACACCAGATCAGCAATCTTGGGGTCCAGGAGGTAGTGGTAGCTGTAAACCACCACGTTGGCATGCAGGATCTACGGGGTGAGAAGGGCAGCGTTACCCCAGCCTAACTGCCACCTCCCACCCGCCCACACCATCACATCACTTCCTCACAGGTCCACAGAGGTAAGGTAAAGATGGACACGCAGACACAGACAGATAAGACACAGAGGCGAGGCAAGGCACACATATAAGCAAGTTGATAGAGACGGAGAGGTATCTCCCAATCTCCATAGGGAGATACATACAGGCAGACAGACAGACACAGGTAATCAGATAGGCAGGCAGCCTATAACCCTCACACATGCCCTCTGCCCACCCCCTGCAAGCCTCCTCACTGAATAGCGGGCAAGGAAATATGGGCACCAGCCCTGGCGCCGCCCCACGGCCTTCAGGTCATCCAGGTTGTAGATGCCAGCAGGGAGAGGCACTTGGCGTCCGTGAACGTCAAATTCCTGGGGTGGGGCAAGAGGATGCCTGGGGGTCAGGTGGGCTGTCACAAGGGGTCTGGCTCGCCCTCCCTTAGCCCTGCTCCAGCAGGCACCTCATAAAAGCGGCAGTGGGGCAGGCTGGGGTCCTGCTGGTACTGCGCCCGCACGTAGGAGGCTGTGAGGCTGTGGCATTTCCCATCGACATCCTTCCCAAAGCGCAGGGGCGTCACCTGGGGAGATGGGGGATACATCTCAGCACTGAAACAGGCTGAGAATCCCAAACAATGTTGGAACCTTGGGGCTCTACACCTCACAGCTGGGTGCGATGGAAGCCTGTTCGGTCTGGGGTGAGACTCGAGAATTTGGGGAAAACTCAAACCTTAACCTATTTCATTATTGAACAGTTAAGGCAGTTGAGAACTTATTGTAGGGATGCAAGAGTGGCAAAATTGTTACTCTTTAATTATTACTTTTAAAACATGAAGCCCTATATATAATGGATTATCATTCAGTCATAAAAATGGAAATCTGGCCATTTGCAACAACAGGGAGGCACCTTCAGGGCATTACACTAAGTGAAGTAAGACAGGCAGAGAAAGATGAATACCACATGATCTCACTTACAGGTGGAACCCAAAGGAAGGTAAGAAGGAAGGGAGGGAGGGAGGGAGGGAGGAAGGAAGGAAGGAAGAAAGAACCAAGCTCATAGATACAGAGAAGAGATTGGTCGTTGCCAGAGGCCAGGGTTGGGGGTGGGTAAAATGGGTGAAGGGGGGTCAAAAGGCACAAACTTCCAGGTAGAAGATAAATAAATTATGGGAATATACTATACAGCATGGTGACTATAGTTAAAAACACTGCATTGCATATTTGAAAGTTGCTAAGAGAATCGACCTTAATTTGCATCACAAGAAAAGTTTTTTTATAACTACGTAAGGTGACAGATATTAACTAGACTTATTGCAGTAATCATTTTGAAATGTATACAAATATCAAATTATGATGTTGTACACCTGAAACTAATATGTCAATTATACCTCAATAAATACAAAACATTAAGCTCTGAAGATTCTTTAGCTTGTAGATAAAGGATAACTGCTTTACTTTTAAAATGCTCAAACACCCAGGACCCTGGCAAGGTCTAAGAATCAGAGGAGGTTCTTATCGCACAGTATGAGAACACGCCTTGCCCTTGCCCTGCTCTGTCCCCTCTGAGTTTCTGTTGGTGGCACCATCACAACCCAGGGCTGCCTTTCCTAAGAACAAAACCTTCTCCTTCACCAAAGGGAAGGCTCAAGACTGCCAACGCTTCCTTCTCCCTTTCCGTCAGTCACCAAGGCCTGTGCTACTTCCCTTTAATTATCATCCATCATATGTATTATTTCTCATATATATTCTTACAAATAATGTCACAGGATATATATTCCTTGAGTTACCACACATAAAGTGCTTAGAACAGTGCCTGGTGCACAGTGAGCCCGGTGGCTTTCTAACATAGTTCAAAAATAACAAATATTCTAGTCGGAGAAAGACAAATACCATATGATTTCACTTATATGTGGAATCTAAAAAACTGAATGAACGAGGCAAGTGGGCAGAGGTGGTCTCGGAGATATGGAGGAGCAACTGATGGCTGTTGGTTGGCAGGGGGTGGGGATGGGGGAGAGGAGGAGGGGGTTGGACAGCATAAATACGTAGCTGCAGTGTTGCCACAGGGACGTGGAAGACAGTTTGAGGAATGTAAT